CCCTTTCTGGATGGACCAGTGCTCTCTGAAGGCAGGTGGAGCTGGACTCACCTCCCCTGGGAAGGCCACTTCACCCTGCTCACCTTCGATTACTGGCTTTCTAGGGAGATTGTGTAATTTTCCAGAAAATCAGCACTTATACCTGCAGAGCTGGCCCTTTCTGTCATCTCTTGGGGGTCCTGAAAGAAGCCGATGATCAGCTTACCACATTGTCTTGGAAATGGGATGCCTCTTAGTCTGTCATCTGTCAGAGTTGAAAGGTGACGTCTTCTCACTCTGGAAATATTGGTCATGACTTTAAGAGGAATTGGAATGCTAATGATTTTCCACATAAGAGTTTAGTGATGATAGGATAGAATCTCAGAGGTCCCCAGTGGGCCTGGGCCACAGCAGCCCAGGACCCCAGTGAGCCTGGCAGACTGTCTCCACCCAGGAAAGCCCAATCACACTCAGGGATCAAGGAGCAGCTGTCTCACTATTGGGACCTAGTACCTGTGTGCAAGGGCTGCAAGGGCAGGCGCCCCATACCATGGACCCAGGCAGCTGCCAGGGGCCTTCTGGGTGCAGTGCCTAGCAGACCACCAGTGTTTGGTAATTGCCTGGGCACTCACAGTGTGACAGCCCTGTGACTCAGCAGTCCCATTAGTCAGGAATTAACTCAGTAATCAGCACCATTCGAGGGGGCTGGGAGGACCAGCTACAGCACCAGCCAGATGGTGGGGAAACCAGAGGATGGGGAAATGCTGCAGGTCGTTGGGTGCGACTCTGGGCAGTGACCATGGCCTTGTGCCTGGTCTGCCCAGCAGCCTTCCCGAAGTGCTGGTTTGGGAAGCTGAGTCGGGCTCCTGACCAACACAGATAACGAGGGAAGGGAGAGAATCACAGGCCAGTCCTGACATTCGAGAGACTGCAGGGAACAGTGCCAAAGAAGACCCACGTCCCTTGTGTCTAAGCTTTTAAAGGTTTCAAGCTAACCCACTGTAAAGGGTTCTCTCTCCTTCTACCTTGAGAAACACCCCTTCAGAAGGAGACGGAAGGCTAGATGCAAGGAATTCTCGAGTCTGGGAACGCTGAGCTGAGCCGGCCTCGGCACTGTCCACGCTCACCCCTGCCTGGCCTGTCCAGGTGAAGGGCCTGGAGCCCATGTGTGGACATTCCACGGCTCAGCCAAGCCCCAGGCACTCACTCCCTTCCAACAGCRACTCCTTGGCCATCTGAGTCCTCAGCCAAGTACAGCACCAGTCACTGCTCTCGGGAGGGAGGGCTTGACCCAGGGGAGGCTCCATGCCAGCCCTGGAATAGGCTCGGGGCTCTGGGGGAACCGAGCCCAGGGTCCCAGGAGCATGGTCTGTGCAGCTCAAGCTCTCCAGAGGGCCGTGTCCTACCGACCTGGAGGAGTCCTCACCCTGTGGGGGCAGGGGAGACCTCTGTAGAGAAGGAGCAGAGCAGGCCCCCTGAGTGTGGGACCCATGTAGGAGCCCTCTTGCAGAGTCTGAAGGCTGGAAATGTGCGAAGCCCTGTTCTCGCCGTCACCCACAGCCCATGTCCCCTGCAGCGGGCATTCAGAGTCTCCATGTGCATCTTTTCATCTGCAAGTCACAGTTTTCCTTGATCCCATGGCCCTTTTGTGGAGTGGACAGAGAGGAGGGAAAATATCCTAAATCCACACCGAGCTCGCTTTCCCTCGGGTCTCTGGGCAGTCATGGACAGGACATCAGAGGCTTGCCCTGCTTGCCTTCCTCTGCCTCTGAGGTGACAAGAGTGACCTCGGGGTCGACCCGGGTCCAGAGCGGAGTCCCAGCCCATCTGGGATCTCCTGGACCAGTGCTCCATCTTGGGCCTCCTCACCTCACAGGCCGGTCACAGCCAAAGGCTCTGAGTCCCAGACGTGACCAGTGACTTCCACCTGAGGACTTTGAAATGCAGGCTCACAATGCTGTCTCCTTAACAAAGTAGAACCTTTAAAATATTTAACAACGTGAAAAGGAAACCGAGCCTGAATTTCCCTTTCAGACACTAGGGAAACAGTGCCGGCTGCGTCTGAAATCCCCATCTCCGCAGACAAAGGGAGCTCTTAGGGTAAAAGCAGCGGCTTTTCACCACAATTTTCAAATAAAAGATAAAGAGAGCACAGCACGGTGGCCTTTCTGTTGGGATCTGACAATAAAGGAAGAGTGTGGTTCTGCAAGGGAGAGCTTTGGTTTGAAGCCTGGAATGCAAAAATAGTTAGGCTGAAAAATCTTACTGAGGAAAAGGGAGGTTTTAAGGACATCGCTTCATTTGACTGCTGGGGTGTTGCAGGGCGGTGACCAAGTTGATGCACCGGTCCCAGATGGAACCCTAAGGAAAAAGAAAGTAAGGTCAGCTTTTCTGTCCATCCTCACACAACCCTGACCTTTAGGAAAGACATGGGGCCAACCCTGGCATGAGCGCTCCCGTGCCTGTCCTGTCCTGCCCTGCCCTGCCCTGCCCTGTCCTGCCCTGCCCTGCCCTGTCCTCCATGGGGCCATCTCTCTCTGCAAGGCCAACTCCTGTGGCTCCTTCTGGTCACCTCTCAGGCAGCATCCTGGTGCTGGTGCTGGTGCTGCCCGCCTCTTGGTAATGGTACCAACCCCTGCACCATACCGTGTGGCTAGTTTTCCAGGTGTTTTGCGTTCCTGGCTTGGTCACTGTTTTTTGGTCAACTTTTTCACTGCTGCGACTGAAAGACCCAACCAGAATTGTAGAGGAGGAAAAGTTTATTTAGGGCTTCTGGTTTCAGAGATCTTGGTCCAAAAGTGGCTGGCTCCATTCCCCGGGCTCCAGGGGAAGCTGAACATCATGGTAGGAGAGTGTGGCAGAGGGAAGCGGTTCCCATAGTGACCAGGTAGCAGAGAGGGGTCTCTGTTGCTGGATACAAATATGTGCCCTGCAGCCAGGTGCCCCRTGAGCCGCTTCCTCCAGCCACACCCACCTGCCTTCTTACCGGGATTGACTCTCTGATTAGGCTAAGGGTACGACCCAGGCTTTCTCCTCCAGACCTTCTTGTAGCTGAGCTCTGGGGACACCACAGCTGCTTTTAACAATCATCCTCTGAGAGCACAGAAACATGAGTCTCTTCTTGAATGTTCTAAGTCTCCACCACCATCCCAACCTTGGCCTGTGATGGAAGAAATGAATGAGTGAATTAACAGTTGGGAGCTGTAGCCACACGTCCTGGTCCCAGGATGGTGGCAGCTGTGGTTGAAAAAGGCAAAGTATCTGCCTTCCTCAAGGAAGGTGAGCTGAAGGGCAGGGTACCTGGGGCCTGAGGCATTGTGGTTCACGGTGGGAGTCCACCCTGGTGGACTCAAGCGCCCCTCGAGTGGGCGGGGTGGGTGAGGGGTCATGGTGAGCACTCCCACCCCGAGGCCACACACCAGTCACGCTCACYGTGCTAACCACCTGGAATGGACCAGGAAACTGACACTCGGGGTTCAAATTGCCCACTTTACACAGTAAGTGAAGGAATTAGGTTTGCCCCCCCAGATTGGCTTGACCTGAGTCAGAAACCCATCCTATAGTGTCCTATAGTCTGCACTTTCTTCCCGGCAACCCGGGGTACAGTGGTACCCGTGGAAGCCCTGTGGGGGCCTGGCCCTCCACCCTACTTCCACCTGCTTCTGCCCCTGTAGAAGACCAGCCATTGGAGGTCTCCTGTCCTTCCCACTCAGGGGTGCTGCAGGCTGCCCGGCCCCGGGCCGAGCGGGCTGGCTGAGCTCCGCTCCTGCCGCTGCTGTCGCTGAGCACTGCCTGCCGCACTCCTGCTGGGCGCTTCCCTGCTGGGCTGTCAGTGCACGCCGGCTTGCAATCTTGCAACCCGGTTGGGCACAAAAACACAAGCCAGTCAAACTGAAACAAAGTTTTATTTTGTGAGAGGCCGTGTGCRTCCCCTAACAAGTGGGTCCACCCACGTGTCTTCTACCTGRGGGGGGGGGGCTCCACTTCCCCCGGAACACCCTCCTACCATCCTTTCCCAACCAATGGGAACTCTCCCATTACAAGAGTGACATGAGTAACCTGAGTCCAGAAATGGGCCCAGGTAAACAGCAGGAGTCCAATTACCATATGAATGTAACTTAACATAATCATAATCTGAATGGCTGGCTGGCAGTCACTAAACCCAAAGGTGCCTGTATCAATATTTTTGCTGTGGCTCCTAGCACAGGGGAGACTACCCTTCCAGGTTTCCAGGCTCTACACAGTGTGGGACACCCCACCCTACAGAGATCTCACCCAGACCACACTTGCAGTGAGGTTGGATTAGGCTACCAATGAGTGACAGGGAGATAATAACAATGAACTAAATGACATTAATGTTTATTTTCCTCCCACATGGAAGCCTAGAGGTTAAGGTCAGGGGTGATCTGGTAGCTTTAGATGTCTGGGGTCCATATTCTTCCTTTCTTGTTTTTCCATTCTGAGGCCACCTGGTCCAAAATGTCTGCTGGTGCTCCAACCATACATTGCATCCATATTTCAACTACAGGAAAGAGCAAGTGGGGAAGACAGAGTAGGTCCCCTATATCTTATACTTCAAGAAAACTTTCCAGCCCTACATCTCAGTCACCCTCATCTCAGCCACATAAGGTTTTAATTCAAGACAGCCATGGGCCCAGCTAAAACCTGGAATCCAGCAACAAACAAAAGAAGATGTGCCCTGCCTCCGTATCTCCCCCACAGCTACCAATAGTGACAGGGAAGTGACAGACAGGTGCTCCTCTGGCTGCTGTGGCCAGTTTGGAGCTGGAGGGGTCATGGTAACCCTTCCAAGGGGAGGCCCGGGCCTGTCACCAGCACCACCACCCGTGGGCTGGAGGATCAGGCTGCTGATCTCAGATTTGCAATGATCCAGATGCTTGCGGAAGGAAGAGGGTGAGGATGATGGTGGAAGGTGTCCCTGCTTGGCTCACTGACCCTCTCCTCTGTCCCCTRCACGCAGGGGCTCTCTGTCCAACGTGTGTCTGTCCGTTCTGTCGCAGGCTCCTGTGGCTGTCTCGTCATGATCTTATTTGCCTCTGAAGTGAAAATCCACCATCTCTCTGAAAAAATTGCAAATTATGCCGAAGGGACCTACGCCTACAGAACGCAGCAGGAGAGCTACACTACCTCCTTCTGGGTGGTTTTCACCTGCTGCTTGGTTCACTTTCTCAACGGGCTCCTAATACGACTCGCGGGATTCCAGTTTCCTTTTGCAAAATCCAAAGATACAGGGACGACCAACGTCGCCGCGGATTTGATGTACTGAAGAGCCACGGTCTCTGTGGTTTTCCCAGGTAAGGAGTGGACTTGCTTTGGTCACTTTTAGAGACCGTCGATTGTGTCCCTCCTTTGACAACATAAAGCAGCAGACCCCTCATGGTGGTGTTTACACACTGCGTTGCGGATGCGGGTGGGAGGTAAGGGAGGCAGAGGAAGGGGTGGCAAGTGCTTCCCGGGAGAGGGGGAAGGTGCTTGACCCAGCTGGGCCAAGGCCGGGGAGAGGACAGGCGGAAGCGCAGGACGCCAGTTCCATCAGCGAGCCATCAACAGGCACGAAGGATATATTTTCATAAAAACAAATACWATTTCTGAGACAGTCACATCTTTGTTGCCCCAGATACCAGAAAGCAGAGCTGTGACTGCCTTCCTAAAATGAAAGTGCATCAAATGAACAGCTCCAAAATGTACCAAGGCACTTTTTTTTTTTTTAAGTTTGCTTAAAGCAGTCTTATGAACCACGCCAGAATCGACAAATCTCAAAAAGACAAAAAAGGAGAAACAGTGACTTGAGCAATGTCCCCCCGGTGCTGGGCCCTGCCCACACCCACAGCAGGACTTTCAATGGACATAAATGCTGGGACCACCAAAGGAAGAATCAGGAAAAGTGACTTCTATTGACAAATAGGATGCAAAACGACTGGCCCAGTAGCATCTAAGCAGCACTAAGGCCTGACTGTGAAGCAGATTTACCCCGGGATTACCATGCTACCACTGTGTCACCATGGTCCTTCACTGTGACAACACATGACCCAGGTCACTTTCCCCTGAAATACCTATGAAATTGACCTGCAGCTGACCAAAGGCCAACGGCTGAGCTTGGAACAGACCCTTCCTTCTGCTCAATCTCTTGAGCTCAAGAAACTGTTCATGCCAGGTGCAACGTTTATGTACGCCAGTCCTCCCAGGGACTCGAGAGGCTGAGGCAGGAGGACCACAAGTTCAAGGTTGAATTGGGCAACTTAGTGGGACCCTGTAAAGAGAAAAAAAGTGTTCTGGAAAAAAAAAAAAAACAGAGAGAAGAGAACATGCCCCCCCCCCCCCCCCCCCCCCCCCCAGCCACAGGTGCTCTGTACTCAAAAAGCCCCACAGGAGGTTATTCTGTACGTTATTTCGTCTTCTTCCTCCTGGAACAGTTTACAAGGAGGAAGCACCTGCTGGGATCCTGAGAGCCACACTCCTGGGTGATCTGCCACTCACAGGTGGACAACGCTCCCTGAGTCTCCAGTAGAACTGCAATCTTCAGTCCTCCTGGGTCTCCCTGGAAGCCCAGGGTCAGTTCAGCTGCAAGGCCCGCCGGCCTGCTAGGTCCAGCTGAAGTGAATGTGACACTCTAGCCACAGGGGTGGCGGGAAGGGTGCCTGAGGCCCGGCTCTGCGCGGCCTCTTTCTCCTCTCAGGGGCTTGAGACGTCCTCCAACACCAAGCTTTCTTCTTTAGAAAACAAGTCTCCAGTTGTTCTCTGTTCTTGTAAAAAGAGAAAGAGACTTTGGAGTGGCCGCTCGGCATCTAATGAGGGCCTCAGAGACAGACCAGCAATGTGTCTCAGCAGGAAGCAGAGGCAGGGCTGTCGCAGTCCCCGAACGTCCCTGCAAACTGAACCAGAAGCCTGGTCACTCACAGCAGTGCAGGACACCTCGCTCTTCTCGCCCTGCCTGCGGTCACCCTTGGAGGTGGCTCTGGCCAGCCCTCACCCGCCCCTCTCTGCAGGGACTGGGGACCAAAGGCCCAGGGACTGACGTTCATTTTGCTGTGACCGCCTCTTCCCCTGAAGTGGCAGCCAGCATTCTCACGAGGAAGTGGGGCCCCCTGCTGGCTCGGGGGCAGCCTGCAGGGTGCCTTGGCTGGCCTTCCACTCTCACCAGTCACCTGAACACCAGCACTTATGATGTCGCCAGGAAGAAGTGGCAGGGGAGTCCATGAGAGCCAGCCCAAGTCCTTCCAGGTAGACCCTGCAGCTGCCTGGGGTGGGAGGGCCCAGAACTCAGCGGGCACAGGTACAGGTGGTGCGTCCTGGACCTTGGGCTCCTGGTCCCACCTGCTTTCCAGGAAGCTGCCTTGCCTCACTCACAGGTGTTCAGGGAGGTCTGACTGGCCGGTGGCTCACACATTTACACAAGCCAGGGCATCGGCTGACAACCTGGGGGAGAGAGCCTGGGACAAGGGGCTGGCCTCCCAACTCGGGTGACAGGAGAGCACACAAGCCCCAAAGTGGGCATGGGCTGCCGTTAGATGGGTATTCACCCAGCTGTGTATCTGCAGAAGGCTGACCAAGCACCCGGGGGACATGGCAGAGGGACACCTCCTCTAGGAGCTGGTGTCCTTCATAGCAGAGTGGCTATTACAGAAGGCTGTTTTGGGACCCGTCTGGAGCCACCTGCCCTGATTTTCTGCCTTTTGCCCCTGCTCCCCTTTCTATAAAAAAAGGAAAGTGTATCAGATGGAATTCAGAGGCAGGGACACAGGATGACACTCCTGCACTGTCTCCGTGCTCAGCGTTTGGCTGATGTCCTTCTCAACCCTCTTCCACCTGACAGCTGGCCATGGCTCAGAGCTGAGGGGCCACCTCTGAGTGACAAGGGATCGAGCATGCTGGTCATCTTAGAGAAAAGGGGCCCACTTCTTGCAACTAAAGGGAGGGAGAAGCTTCTGGGGCCCCTCAGGAGAAGCCCTCCAGATCCTGGAGCCACAGAAGCAAACGGAGTTATATTTTGATTTATAGACTTTGCTGCCCCTGCCCCCAGCTGGACATACCTGTAGAGGTCACACCCAGAGCTGGTTATCTGGAAAGTCTGAAGACCCACGACAGAGGCACCAGCCAGCACCCCCCCCCCAGTGCTAATGGCAGGTTCAGTTGTGGCTGCAGGCCCTGGGCTGGGGGCTGGAGGCTGGAGGCTAGGGGCAGTGGGTAGCTATGGTGCTATGACAGCCACCAGCAATGAGTAGATGAGTGTCCCCAGGGACTGGGCTTCTCGGCTAGGACATTGGTCCAAGGGCTTCCGCCCCATTCCAAAGATGACGGACAGTGGGTTGCAAGATAGGTGGTCCTAAAGATGTCATGTCCACTGAAAACTAAAAAATAAATATTAAAAATTTCAAAAAAAAAAAAAGATAGGTGGTCCTCCCTTGAGGGAAGGAGAGGGAAGTGCCTACCCCCGCCCCCACAGCTGGTCGCAGATCCCACTGTGCAGAGAAAGCCAGGGCCATTGTCCTTCCCTTCCCCGTCTGGTAGGTGAGAGGGCTGTGGAGGAGGCTGTGCCCTGCAGGAGCTCAAGCTGGTGCCCTTCCAGAGGTATGAGCTTCAGCACACACAGGACTGCAGGCCCTGTCCTGGAGACCCCTCGGATGCACATTTATCATGGATGTGACATATGCAAAAAGAGTGTCTCAGCTGACTCAGGGGCACATGTGCTGGTGCTGCCATGGTCGGCTTTGGACTTACCACCATCTTTCCACTTGCCCACTGATGACCAGCAGGACTGTCCACACCCAGCCACCGGCCCTGGAGACCCGGTGTGTACTTGCCTTTGCTGGTGCTCATGCCCCTGTGCCACCTCTCCCCCCCAGACGCCACAGTGCCACCTGTTTTGCACACTTCCTCCTGGGCATGAGCTCAGCTGCCCTCCCAGCCTCCAGGGAGGTGGACCTCCTGTGCCCACAGGGTGTAGACTGGAGAGGCCACTCTCAGGCATGGCCCTGAGAACTGTCCCATGCAACSGACCACTTGCTCTGGCTCTGGTGCTGCAGCCTGGGCAGCTGAGAGGTCCTCTGTGGGTTGAAGAGGGGAGGTGGCTTCCCAGGGGATGGCCTGGTGGTGGCACTGGGGGATGACAAGGGCGAGAAATGGCTTCCTGTAGAGTCGCTTGGCTCTGATGGCTGCTTGTTGCCCTGGCCCAGCCTGTCCTGACCCGGCCAGCAAGGCGCTGCTCTCCAGGAAGGCTCCACTCCCACCAGCCAGTGGCTTCTCCAGGGCTCTGGGCAAGGCCTGAGGCCAGGTGCATCCTCCGCCTCCCCACCCCTCCATGGTGCTGTGTGGCCCTCTGGCCTCTGCCATCACCTGCTGAGATGAAGCCCGAAGAATGGATTTTCTGCAAAAATATCTAAGGAGTAAATAAATATTTTTTGCTTATGCTGCTGGCCTCTTTAGGATTCTTTCCAAATGTGGATTAATGTGTCTCCTCTCATTATTCCAAAAAGATCTTATCTTGCATCTGCTACTGATGTGCCAGGTACCAGGCCCTGAAGATGAGGGAAGCCAGTATAGAAGAACTGGAGAAAAACAGTCTTCTTGATCTTTAGTTGACTGCAGAGAAAAATATCCTTCAAGACTCATTTTTTTTTAAATTTATTATTTAAAAAAAGAGTTTTGAAAATTTGTCAGGAAAAAAAAAATCAGGTGAAATTCCTGAACAGTTTAAGTCATATCAAAAAATCAACAATTATCCTAGAGTTTCAATTTTCACAAATTCTCTAAGAAGCTACTTAATCCAGTAATGTGAAGGAGAGTTTCAAAAATATATCTAGAGAGCTAACTGGGAAGTGGGGGGCTTCTGTCTCGGTAGCCCTGAGGGCCCCACCTGGCTCCTTGTATCGTTGAAATGGAGACTGCCCACAGTTCTGGATCAGAGTGCACCTGGAGCCCAGAGGAGCCCTTCCTGTAGGGTGGTGGCGGGTCGCCAGGCTCCCTGTTGGCTTGGTAGCAGAAGAGGTGCCGACTCAGGTCCTGGCTCCAACAGAGTCTAGATTTACACATTCGTCCTGCTTGTTCCAGTTCTTGGAATTCTCTACTAGTCTGAGGACAAAAACAAGCTCATTCTACAGGAATGATTTACACCTGAGCTGGGTATGACATGGATGAGCATCCCCTGAGAGTCCATGTGTTAAAGTCTTGATCTACAGGGTGGTGACTGTAGAAGTCCCATCTCTCAGTCTTTTTCTGCTTCWTAGTTCTATGATGGAAGTGGTTTTTTCCACTTGTGTTCCCACAGTG